AACGTTGTTCTTTTAATAACGCTACAGTCTATTGGAGAAAATGAGTAATGTAAAAACCAGTCACTTAAAGTTTTTTACTTTTTTGAGGCACTTCTTGATAATTTTGAAGCGCAATCTTTGTAGGGCTTTAATATTAATACACCATATCACAGACACTGATGACAAGTAGGGCCATGCATCGCAGATTTAACATTGTTAAACGATACCTTTAATAAGACAGGACCACTTTCAACATACTATGTTTTCGACACAACAGTGTATACCAACCCCTTCTTTTATGTTCACTTGCAACAAACAAACAAAGAAAAACAGTAAAGAAAAGATAGTATACTGAAAAGCAGTTAACCTCAATGAATTTCCTCAAGAATATGATATTATAATCACCATTTTCATGATAAGCTACGTTAAAGTTTGATCATCATAATTGCTAGGATTATGTCCAGCGTGTTACTTTTAAAAGGGCTTTGGGTTTACTTCAGTTCAGTTCTTTTTCATTGAACACGTTCATAAATACAGAACATCAAAACATACAAGAAACAAATAGAAAATAAACATTAACAACAACACCTTCATATTTAAAGTGTTGGCGGATTAGCGAGCAGACAGAAAATCTTATTAAAAGCTACCCCCCTCCCCCCCCCCCTCATAATCCTTGAAAAATCCCGTCGCAAGTCAAGCAAGAAGAGTTAAGAAAATTTTGTGTATAATAGCGTCCATATTGTGATGGTTATCTGTAGGACCATTCATGCATGTTCCTCCATTATTGCAGGGATTAAGATACATGCTCGGATGACTACGTGTTCCATATCCTGCACCAGGGAGTTGGCCTCCCTGCCTGCACTAACCGAGAAAACAGTGTCTTAACAAAACCGACCTCCAAAACCCAAAACATTTACACAAGTTTCTTTTATAGTTAAAGGGACTTGTTAGCATTGTTCATAAATTCAATGCTAGATGTACAATAACCTGAACGTTTGAGTGAAAACGGATCATTATTAATGATATAAATTTGGGAAAACTGATCTGATCGATTTCTTAATTCTCCCAACTATATTATTACAATTTAATTACATTTTAAGTAAATGTAAATCGTCACAAAGCAATGAATTGGCTCTATATACCATTCCAGACATTTCAGTGTTGAAAGATTTTTAAAAGCCTTTCTTATGTCTTATTTTCAAGGAAAATTCAAAAATGGTTGGGAGAATTTACTGTTAATCACTTTTAGAGGGTGTTGCACAGTGACGCCTTCAAATCTAACCCTAAATGTCTTTGTGGTTTGAGAATTTTCTCGGGATTTTTTTACCTGAGAGTAAGTACAGTAGAAGGAATATAAAAAGTAGCATTTCATCAACCTTCAACAATGTTACCGAGTTACTTTAAACTTCCGATGTATTCATAAAGCTGCTGAAGCAAACTGGCAAAACAAAGCGGAACCAATAATGTTATTATAGGTAATAAGATTTGGAAACCAAGCAACGTGGTTTGCAACGCATGACTTAAACTATACTCTTATAAGCTTTAATCCACATTGATTGATAACCAGTGGGGTCATTGTTCGGTATGGTTAAACACGAAGTCGATATTCTACTCTTTTGACATGTCTAAATTAGTGTCGTTAATTTGTGTGCTTCGTAGAGTTGAATTTATACCTAATCCAATCCTATCCGGGAATTTGTAGACGCCAAAAGGTAGTTGTCCAATCACAGTCGCTGATGAGCTGAGATGTCGTCCATGATTCACATGGGAAACCGTTAACTAGGGGCTAGTTGTTTAATTGCAAAGAGTAATTAGACGGGCAACTTGAATCCCTATCCGGGTTATCATGTCAATTATATGTTGTTCCTATTATGTTGAAGAAAGATTGCTCTTGTAAATATAAACAATCAGGAGCGTACGCAGGGGGGGGGGAGGGTTGGGGTTAAACCCCCCCTTGAGTTTTTTTTTTTTTAATGTTTTTATGGAAACCCCCCACCCACCAAAATGTCAATTTTTCAAATTTCAAAACCAAAAAAAAATGTCCTCTTACCCCCCCCCCCCCCCCGCTTATTCAGCGGCTGGCTGAGTCGTTGCGAAATTTTTGGCCCAATTTTAAACCCCCCCCCCCCCTTGAAAAAATCCTGCGTAGGCCATTGTAAACAATTATCCTATATATGGACGCAATAAAGAAATGAAATGAAATCCGCTGTTAATGTTATTTGAATGTGCTTCAATTGCTTAGAATTTATGTACCTTTTTTTCACTCAGGTTGCATTCATGAGCGAACATTTACTGATCAATGGCAGGATATCTCTTCCGGGTAAAAGTCAGTAATTTGATACGCGTTTTGTTCAAAATAGAGTGACGCCTAGGGCCTTTCAGCAGACACAAGTAAGGGTAAAAGAACATAGCATAGTTTTGCCTGAAGAGGAAAAAGAGAAATAAGCAGGGTACCGTGAAACAGCGTTTCAAAACTGTTCCAAAAGTGTGTTTCAAAATACTGATACAGGCTTCACAGTTAAGCTATAAATGCACCCTAACTTGTCTTAATGATTATGTTTACGTAAGATCCTTCACACTAAATCAGAAGTCCGATGACTACAGAATGATCCTTGATTCTACCGTGGTTCTCTTACTTTAATCGTGACCTAAACATGCCTACAATACAAGCATCCTACATCATTGGTAAATTGATCATTTGTTTTTGTTTCAGTGACATCTTTGATGACGCTGTGATGAGATCATGGCCCCAGTAAGTCGCCATCACAACTTGATCACCATTCTAGCTGTTATCACATGCAGCGCCACCATCTCTCTTCTGCTCTCCATTGAACTCTCAAACAGAAATGGTAAATATTTATTAAAATTATTCTTCATTTCTCACGAACACGTTGAATTAAGAACCATATATCATTAAGAGATGAACTGATTCTTAATTTGATGTCTGTGCTATAACACGATCTGTTAATTTATGTAAAATTTATAATCGTTTAATCTGTCAAGTACATTAACAATTTTTTAAAAAGTTTCTGACAACTTGTATATCTGCAGAATTCTGTTATGCGTCTCTCAAATAAGATATATACCGAAACAATTAATAATACAATTCATCAAATTAAATTTGTCTACAGCTTTGAACATAATGATAGACCAACAGGTCGGGAGGTCGATATTGTTGGTTTCCCTCTGAAAAATCTCATGGGCTGTCGGTCTCGAATGCCCTTCGGTCTCATAAACCGTCAGAAAACTATTCATAGAAGGCTCATTCTTCCACTTTGAGTACATACCTCTTTATAGAGAATTATCGTACTATACTGGGGTGTGTGCAGGTGGACCACTACCGGGGTTCCCCCCTACTCTTGTACGAATAGTGCAGTGGGTTCAAAGGTAGTGACTACACGGGACCTCCATTTTACGTCCTATTCGAGGGACGGTCTCGTTGGCTTCGTGGGCTGTAACGAAATTAGTGGCGGTCGTCCCTGCATGTCGAGACGCCCTACAATTTATTACCGTGCAGATTCAGACAAATTAATGCATTTATATATTCGATAACACCTTTTACTCCTGCCCAGTATCTGTTACGTCGATGACAAAGTGTGTATGCCACGAGTCAAACTGGAGAACGGAATTTCTTGAAGAGGCTCGTCTACGGAGAGAAGATGAAGGCGGTCTCGTGACCGTTAAACAGGAGGAGACACCACCATGGATGCATATCAAACGAGGGGTAAGCTAGGCCGTCATCCTCAGACTCTCTTCATTCTGCCCATACTGTAAAACAAAGTTGGGCAGATGTTACTGGGTAAATCGAAGTTGGGGAAATTTTGTCCAATAATTGGGTTATTTTCTCCCAACCGTTTACTATATGAAGTTACCCAATGAAAGGTAAAAAATAGGTGAGGTAATGTCATTGGGAAAATTACTAAAAATGATTTAGTTTTAATGTAGGAAACCATGTTTTACAACCCACTCTGGAATATATTTATCTTTTTACAGAGACATCAATTTATAATTATGTACTTACCGTTGATGAACAGGCAACATAGAGCAACATTTTGCTGACTTTTAATGTTAAAGACACAGGTGCAATAATTTCAGTATTAGCTTTTTACTTATTTGTATGTTATGTATTGTATTGCTTTTGATTAATTGTTGTTATTACTATTGTGAAGTTTAATAGATTTTAAAAATGTAAATAATATATAGTGATTGGTTTTAAATGCTACACATGAATACTGTTAATTGTTACCAATACTGTTTGAATGAATGATTGTAACAAATGAAATATAATGTTATGTAATGAAGCTCATGTATACATGTAAACATGCACAATTCAGCATTTTGGCTGCGAGGCATTGTTTTTTAATAAAACCATTATTGAATTGAATTGAATGAATTGAAGAGTTGGGCCATTTTTGTCCAACATTTGGGTTAGTTTCTCTCAACCATTTACTACATGTATTTACCCAATTAAAAGATTATTATTAATATTAAATGTTCAAAATAAGTTGGGCAGATGTAACTGGGCAAACGTAAGTCGGGCAACATTATTATACAACATTAAGGTTATGTTCTTTTTAAGAAGTGTCGTGGTCGAGTTGATATGTCACAGGAGGTCCGCGGTTCGAGTCTCGCCGCGGCACTAATAGCCTGTTGCATATAATATTTTATCCAACTTATTTGCCAAACTAGTGTGTAACTTATGCTATACACTATGGTGAAAATTGGGTGAATTTCTGATTGGGTAAATTTTTGTTAGTTAAAAGCCTATTTTCTTTTTATCCAACACTGGGTAAATCATGTAAAATCTTTAATTTACCCAACAGGTGGTTGGACACATAATCGCCCTCATGTTGGGTAAAAAGTGGGCAATTTTTTGCCCAATATTTGTTAGAGTGCATAAAGGCGAGAAATGTACCCGCCCACGAGAATATCAACTGCCTGTGGGTTAACGCCTCAATTACACTGAAAAGATTGGACGGTGGAGAGGGGGAAGGGGGGGGGGGGGAGTTGATTTAATGTTTAATTTGTCCGGATCTAAATGGTCTCTGACAATCTCCGACCAGCCCCGACACATTCGTCGATGTTTTCACGAAGTGACGGTAGTGAAAAAAATTGCATTCACTTTGCGTTACGATTTTGTTTGTGTATATAGGATCTATCGAGCATGTTAAAAACACTAAAATTCAGATACTCGAAACTGCTAAAAGAACAAAAAGACATATTTGGGTAGATCTTTATTTCTAATGTCTTTGTTTAAATTCAGGGTGGTCAAATTGACGCTTAAGCTTTTTATCTATCGAAGAAATTGAATGAAACAGTTTTCCTCAAAATTTGATAATTGCCATCCACTATTACACATCACTAGACATTTAGCAAAATTCTTGGATGCCAAGATTAGATGTAAAAGGAACTGAAATAACATACTAGAAAATAACATTTGGTTGTATTTATTTACAGGATTTGGAATACCCAAAGTACACTGAAAGTCTTGCCGCAATCCAACCTCGTCGTAAGCAACACCTGAGCAACATGTGCCACAAAGCCTTGCCAATGAACCATCCCCACCACATCCACAACGAAACCCTCAAACACTTGTACGTTAACGATAAATACAAGTTTGTCTACTGTTCAGTTCCTAAAGCTGGTTGTACGAACTGGAAGCGAATCTTGATGGCCATCGAAAACTCCTCGCTTGATGTCACCCGTATTTCTCGTGATGAAGCCCACCATAGCAACCTTAAAACCTTGATAGAGTACCCTGAGTCTGAACGCAAGCATATTCTCTCGCACTACACCAAGTTTCTCTTTACCCGAGACCCCTTTGTTCGGCTCCTGTCAGCCTATAAGGATAAGTTCATGGGGATCAGGAACCTTGACTGTGAGCGTCATAGCTACTACTTCAAGAACATTGCTGCGGACATCATGTCGCGGTACCGGAAGAGTGTGTCACGCGAGACTATCCAGGCTGGGGAAGGTGTCCGATGGACAGAATTCATACGATTTATTATCAATACAGAAGATCCCATGCAACTGAATGAGCACTGGCAGTCAACGAACTCACTCTGTGCGCCGTGTTCCATCAGCTATGACTACATAGGAAAGCTGGAGACGGTTCATGAGGACAGTACGCGACTATTACGCCGATTTCAAATTAGGGACGAGCGTATTTACTATCCGAAATCGACGGTTCCAACTCGTCGAGATTCCGCCGAGTTCTATGATGCCTTTGGAACGATCACCATCAACGAACTCAGAGAGCTTTGGAGAATATATGAAGTAGACTTTCATCTGTTTAACTATACGCAACCACAGTTTTTATCGAGCAGTATCGAACGAAAATGAAGTAATCTATCGTTTCTTTAAATTTCGTGGATGATTTGAGATCAATCTGACAGCTGACAGCATAGTCAGGTTTTATATCACGCTTTCTATATTGGCTGAGGTGAAGGTCGATTGGAAGGACAATCTACGTGGACTAAAAGCAGTGACACATTCATCAAGAATAAAGCAAATCAAAACTACATTGTTTCAGATGTCTATCACATGGGGAATGATTATGAAGATACCTGTGGTATTATTTGGTGTGAGGTAGAAAATTGACAATCAGGATTTCATTTTCTATCATTAACGTTGTGTATTTATTGTCAAACATTTCAACTTGCTGTTACCCAGTATATCATGATTTGTTTGAAATAACTTTTGCAGTTTCGGAGAGTTTTTTAAAATAATTTCTTTATTGAAATTACTTACATAGTGCAATACGAAGGCTTATTATTACGCCTTAAAGAAGTAACAATATGCCTACTTATTATAAGTATCTTTACGTCGAGTTTTTGTATTACAGACCAGAAGGGGAACGGTAAACATAGAGAGTAGGAGAGCGAGTAAATGAATATAATATGAGGGCTAGATTATGAGTAGAGAGAGAGAGAGAGAACAAAAAAGGGGGAAGAGAGAGAGAAAGAGAGGAGGGATGAAGTTAGAAGGATTACAGTTCAGTCTTTTTTCAATGTCCCTTGAGTTATTCAACTAATACTAATTCGACAAATTGTTGACTAATTTTCCAGTGTGCTTTTGCATAATAAAACTTTTAAAAACACTATAGATATTGAGGTCTTTAAGTGGGATATTTACTCGAATTTACTTTTTTTGACATACTTTCAATATTTTATGAATAGTCATGATAAAAATTATCTTCTACCGATATATTTATAGGAAACTAATGATACTTATATGGTCTTATTGAGCCAAGGTAGTCTTATCAGTATTGACACTGCTTTTCCAGAGGACCCTAAGAATTATTTGACCTCATCGTTGTCTAAGGATGTAAGCGCTGAACGCGGTTCGAACCCAGAGCATGTTGTTTTATAAAGTTCAAAAACTTACATCGATGCTCCAAAGTATATTTCCATAGACTTGAGTGGAATCGTTTATCTTTCAAATTCAACTTTATCTGAAGCTTAGTACATAAATATGACATTCATAATGATAAGCTCTCAAATACAGTGACCCGAATTGTAATAAGATTCGGTTGTCTCTTTTAATAATTATTATGACATTGTCTGATAATCATAAATGTTGTGTATGTTCCGTTAATGCTGTGATCTAGCCAAAAACGATCAAGAGTTTAGGATTCATATTTTTCGTGACACTATAGTTTAAAATATCGTAAGCATTATCCTATGAGTGAGGAGTTTCGAAAGAATTAAGGATACTTATTGCCAATGGCAGTATCGGGTAATAAACGTTTTATATAATATTGGAAATGATGTGACACAAACCACTTTTTAGGCAGCAAGATAAATTATTAAAAAAACAAATACTAGGGCGGGCTTAATACATTTAATTTGCAGATGATTTGGACAAGTTTCAGACTCCAGGTTCTAAGACATCACCACAATATTTAGATAACAAAATATAACCAAACCAAAAATATCCTTTAACACGCACTAAAGAGTTATCAAATTATGAAAAATGTGTTTTAGTCATCCGATATTACATTTATGAGCCGTTAAGCAAAGATTCTCAAAACATGAATAACAGCTTTAAGGTAAAGATTTTCTCTAAATAAATCATATTAATCTTATATCTTGATTTTTGTTTGGTGAGGAACGTGTGTAATGTGTAAGACTTCCTTTACCCTGCACAATTATGAGAAGTCAGTTTTATACCTTAGTCACACTGCCGAAGTGACTTCAAACCGATTTCAAACAGACATATTCTTTGCCATTTTTGTTCGGTCTCGTCGGTGTGACTTGGACATTAATCTAATACATGATCTAGGTTGTTTGCAGTAAGAAAAGGGTATTAACGCTGTCTATGACTTGAATGGATTTGAATTTGACATGTATGCTTAAACTGACACAAAGGCTGGTGGTTGATTGTACTAACATGTAATACTCTAAATCAGGTGAATTATGTATCTTGTTCATGTGCTTTGTATCTGCTTTATGAAAAGAAGCTTAACAAATGTTTTATAATATTATTGTCATTATTATTATTTGTATCATTACTACATGTATTATTATTATTATTGCAAAACTGCTCATGAAGAGATAGGTTTTGGAAATCTAACTGAATAAATATATTATGTATCTGAAAGATATTTAATTTCACATGTTGTTTTACTTTATATGTGATGATAGAAGTGAGGTTTAAAAATTCAAATAGTCTGTTGATAATCGCTGAGACACTGGAGAGTAGTTGAAATAGAAATGTAACAAAGAAAGAATAACGAGAAAAGCAGAAGAAGAAGAAGAAGAAGAAGAAAAGCGCCAACATGAAATAAAAAAAAGTTCACAAAATACTTTTTATCTTAAATAATTCAAACCTTAAGATTGCAACTTGTGCGAGTAGGCTTTACGAATGAATTAAACATATAATGCGTACAAATCTAACGAGCAAAAGAAAAATATAATCTGATTGAAATTACCCGTACGTCATTGTTTCGTCTACTCCTTCTACCTCACATTTTAAAAAGTTTATATAATCATTGGCTATTTTTGAATACTTTTCATTAATTAACTAAAACAAGAGAAGTAAACTAACTGAAGGATATAACTCGTGGATGTTTTTGTTATTTCATCGCGCAAATGTGCTTTCTTAAACTTTATTTGCGAACTTCAAGTACATATAAGTAGGCCAACATAAATCATGAAAACAAAACTCTAGGGCCCGAATTCACAAAGGTGGTTTGTCGACAAACCTTGGTTTTCGTGCGTCATATTACGCGTTTCGACGCGTTTTTACAAACCAGGTTTGTAAAAAAAACGCGTAAAAACGCGTCATATGACGTACGAAACCAAGGTTTGTCGACAAACCACCTTTGTGAATTCGGGCCTACGGGGATAAGGAATGTTGCATTATCTTGGAAAGCTTGCCGTAGATGGGGTAAATCTACAATTATAAGCGCACTTCAAAGTGCTAAATCAGTCGACAAGAAATTGCACTTGGAACGAGAGTGCTAAATCATATTGTTAAATCATGTATTGGTTTTGGTCAAATTGGTCAAATTGGAAAGTTTCCAACTAACAAAACAACATGTAAAGCTGTAGAGAACTAAAACAAAAGTTGAATATAAAAAAGTAAAAATAAAGGGCAATCTGCCATTACATTATAAAAGACGAGAAACTTTATCCCAGTGGGGCTGATTATATATATAGTGCGTCATATACTGGGTCACATTTATAATTAATAAATTGCACATATTTGGAAAGCTTAGATCCTCCTCTTTCATTTGATGCAACTCATATGATGCACATTTCACGCATGAGTGATTAAAATGAATTTGAAGAGAGAAAACCAAAAAGACATTTGACGGACGGTATCTGAATTTCAAAGAGAAAATCACATTTATAAAAAGTTGAGTTTCTGCCCTTTCATATGATACCTCAATCAGGAAGAATGAGCAAGGAATGACACAGTTCTGTGCTTGCATTTCCATAATTTTATTAAACGAATTCGTTTTCACTGGCTACCTGCCGTAGCAACAAGCAAAATTGACAAAAGACTTAACTCCGTTTCGTTGACAATCAGCCGTGCATGAAGTTTTTCATTTACGGCTGATTGTCTACGAAACGGAGTTAAGTCTTTTGTTAATCACGTTTGTTGCCTTTGATTCCCTTCTTGAGAGCCTTACACCTTCACCTTTTATTTTTGTATTTATATAAGAAAATATTCATTCAGATTGCTTAAAGGTAATACAAAGTTTTGGTATGAGGTCATGAATTTGGTTCAAATAAAAATATTGGAAGCATATGCGATCCGACAATATTTAGTGATCATTGTCGCGGTTGCAATCGAGTCTAAAGTTATGAAAATGTCAATAATCAACTCTTTATGCTTTATAGCTCCCTCTCAAGGTCAAGATATTAATTAACCTATAAAACAATTTTTCTTGACTGAAATCAACCGATTAGCTATTCCCGTTTGGAAATTATATATCACAACTACATATTCTGAGATTTTCATGGTCGCAGCTACTATTGTACGGCCGTAGGCGCTATTTTAAATTTATTATAATTTACCGGGAGCACCGGTAAATTTTTATATTCCATTTTTCTCAAAAGCAGAAGTGTTTTAGGGGCTAAAAATTGTTGTGCTTATAATTCATCCACAGGGGCATCCATATATATAAAAATTGTAAAGAATTACTATCCACCCAATTTTCAAAAATTACCAAAACTTTGTATTACCTTTAATTTATATTGAACTAATAAATTTGCATCGACGATATGTTTATACAGTAACTGTAAAAAAAAATGTTCCTTTTTATAATGTTGTATTAGAGAAAAAAATAATATGAAGTATTACCGTCACCTTTTACTTTTTGCTATATTGAAAAATCTATTTTTTTCCCAAAGTTGTAGAATTGTATCACAGTTTGTATACTTGATCAAATATGTAATATATTAGTACGGATACTTAAGAAGAAAAAAATAAGATATGTCTGTTTTTATAATATATGAGACAATTTACTACACTGTTGGTCATAAAGGTGGAATAACTTTGTTTTACCGCAATTTATGGAATGATTTTGACAATGATTTATTCCTAATATCTATATAATAGTATACATTCTCAGATTGTATTGAATATTAATTTGCGAGTGTTTGTAATTTGTGTGACTGCTAAAGCATGTGCATACTAGTTATGCTTATCAACTAGGGGACCTACGTCCTTAAGTCATAACTGACAGTAAATAGGATTAATGCCTCACTAAAGGGCACTAATATAGCACTTCGACACGGTTTTGATCCTGGGGCCTCACAGTTACGAGGTCATTGAGGAGACAAATAAAAAATAAATGTAATACAATTTAACAAATGTTTAACATTAAGACATAGTACATAAAAGGAGCAAGTTCATAAAATGCATTTTAATGAAATAGAAAGACAAGGAGACCTTAAGAAAAGCTTAGCTTGTAAAAGTCAGGTACCTCAAGCTATATCAAAATCACATGTTTTGTTAAAAGACTAATGTGATTTAACAGTTGTTCTTCTCCCGCATTGGATCTTTTTATCCCGATATGAATTTCTTGCCAATGTAGATTTTTTTAACACTGATAAAGCAAAAAGGTCACCGCAGTCCTTCCAAATATTTGCTACTTTTTCACAGATAAAAAATAGATGTTCATAGGTCTCTTCGTGTTTATTGCAAAAGGAGCAAAGATTGCTCACTGCATGTTTCAAAGTGTATAGATGCTTATTTGTATAACATTTTATATTGAAATTCCCTCAGCTTTCTGTCCAGAGTGGATTTTCGGGGTCTTAAGAAAATTGCTCTCGTGTCATTTTCGACCATATGTACGTTCTAAGTTGCATTCTCATCTTTAACAATGTACTATAGATATATTTTGATGTTATGCCTTGCAAAGAGTGGGGATTTCCGTTAATACTAAATTCTAAACTTAATTCGGTATCATCACAAGGATTTTCAT